ATGGCCACATATGAAACCTACATGAAGATCATATGGCCACATATGAAACCTACATGAAGATCATATGGCCAAATATGAACCCTGCATGAACTCCATATGGCCACATATGAACACATCCCGTTACCTCATCTAAATCACCCCACCATCATCCCTCCACCTATAACCTTACCACCCCTCCCCATAACCCTATCACCATCCCCCACAATAACTCCCCCCACCATTACCCCACCACACTCCTCCCCTATAACCCCCATTTCTACAATCCTCCCCTGTCCCCATCCACACAAAATCCCCACCATCCCCCCATGACCCAACCACCCACCCCACCCCACCCCTCCCACCCCCTCCCCCTCCCCCTCCCCATAACCCCACCACTTCTACAATCCTCCCCTGTCACCATACACCCAATATGCCCCCGTACCCCATAACCTCACCACCCCCACAACCCCTTTCCTCCCCCCCTCCACCCCCCCCATAACCCTACCACTTCTACAATCATCCCCTGTCACCATCCACCCAATATGCTCCCGTTTCCCATAACCTCACCACCCCCCCCCCCCCCACAACCCCTTTCCTCCCCCCTCCACCCCCCCCCCCCCATAACCCAACCACTTCTACAATCCTCCCCTGTCACCATCCACCCACCACCCCCACTATCCCCACCATCCCCATGACTCCATTACCCACCCCCACCCCGCCCCCATAGCCCCCATAACCCCCCCCCCCCTCCCCCTCTCCCCCCTCCCCCACATCACCCAACCACTTCTGCATTCCTCCCCTGTCACCATCCACCCAATACGCCCCCATACCCCCATAACCTTCCCCCCACCCCCAATACCCCCCCCCCCATAACCCCACCCCTTCTGCTTTCCTCCCCTGTCACCACCCTGCTCACCCGACTACTAAAGCCGCGATTGACTCACAAACTTCGATCTTTTCGCGTGCCAGGACGGTGGAACTGGGGCAACAATCAGCTCTGGCACGAGATGGATGCCTGACAAAACGCTTTTAATAGCACATACTTGTACCTGGCTAATCAAATTCTCCGTTTTACCGGACTTCTTCATTCACTCATGTATTAAGTCCTGATACTCCAGCTTTGACAACATTCTACCAGAGAAACTTTATATATATATATATATATATATATATATATATATATATATATATATATATATATAAATATATATATATATATATATATATATAAAAGTGTGTGTGTGTATGTATACATGTCCACGTGCCCATACTGAGAAAATCGTTTCGTTTACTTGAAAACCTTTTATCAGGTATATATATATATATATATATATATATATATATATATATATATATATATATATATATATATAATTAGATACAGATATAGATATACAGATGTGCAGATCTATAGACATATATACAGATATAGAAATAGATACAGATACAGATTAATAATGACATAATAAAGTTAATGGTTTTGTTATTAAATAATCGTGTCAGTTACGTAACAAAATGTTTCAAAACGAGTCAAACCTAAAACATCAAACATCTATTAGTATTTGTTGCTCGTGTTACTGTGACTTATCTACCAAATACTGAGATTTTCTGATGCAGGCCTTAGCTCGAGTGCTAGTGCTCCTGTGCCCATTCATAAAATATTTTAAACGTACAACTTGCTAAATTGTTTCTATAACACATACTGTTGGCATGTACCCTTTGCATTAATCGTTGCACTATAGCACTTAGCTGTTGTTAGGAGATATCTGCCACTGTAATGTAAGGTCGGTTATTTGTTAAATAAAAATACAATTTGCACAATACATACATAATTAGCACAAAAATGCATAATTTAATCAAATTATCATCTTCTACGCTGCGCGGAGAAACATTCTATTTGCAAATCATGCGAGGGCTGGGTAGATCTAAGCTGGGGACTGGGGGGGGGGGAAGGGTCATTATTATGGGAGGGTAGTGTGGACACGGGGAGGGGGGGGCTCATGCTGAGACGACAGCTAATTCCACATCTTCATGCAAAGGGCGGTAACCCACGGAGATGGAGGAATTGTAATGCACATAAAAATTGGCTGTTTCGCATTGTTTTTTGGGCTTTCATTACGTACGCGGGCGCGTCCCACACAGCGCGCACCTCCACCGCGCACGGTGCGTCCGCAAGCGCGTGTAATTAGCTTTTGTTTCGTTTTTAAGCCATGATTGAACGAAGGCATCTCAACTGCACAAAGCCGGAAAATTGGACAAAATGCGACGTTTAAATTTTCAAAAAAATTTTTGGAGGTATTTCTTCAACGTATGGAGATTCATCATAAGCCGCGACCTTCAACCTTGGCCTTGATTGAGATGTCACAACATGACTGAGTGACAAGTATCACATTTTGATTGTGATAGGAACAACTGGACATTGGGAATACCTCACAGAGACATTGATTTTCATCATTGAAGCTGTATCTAGCAGCCTTTAATTAGCAAATATTTAATCTCTATAGTCTTGTTAATTTCCATCCGTAACCAATTAATTACCACCAATTAAGCACCATCTATATTCCAATTAGCTTCTATCTAGCAGCTCTGTTAATTACCACCTATAGTCCAATTAATTACGATCTATAGTCCAGTTAATTTTCAATTGCAACCTAGTTCATTACTACCAATTAGCATCATCTATAGTCCAATTAGTTTCCATTTAGCAACCCTGTTAATTACCACCAATCAAGTCCCACCTATAATCCAATTAATTACCACCTACAGCCCAATTAATTACAATCTTATAACCTAATTATATGCCCACCTTAAGCCCAGCTTATTACCACCTCAGATAACTTTGGTCCAGGTACTGACCACTATAGGCCACCCACAAGACATCTGTTGAAGGCCTACATGAGACTACATTAACTAAACAAAATTGACATATGCTCTTTGTTTACTATTCTCTTTTAATCACACTGTCAAAAAGTGCATGGACTTTAACCCAAATACTCACCCTCTGACCCCCCCCCCTCCCACCTTAACCCAGACACAGTAAGCTTTGCTGCACATTTTCAAAAAATGTATCAGGACAGGACGGCCATAGTTGCGTGCTTGTATCCCATGGTTACCGACAACACCGTGTTTCCATTAAAATCTTAGGAGCAGTTCGCGCAGACATCAGGCGATAGTCTAGTTATTTTGAGAACACGATACCGAAAGTAGGAATCGCGGAATAAATATATGATCTCACAGTAAGGTATGTGGTTTCTTGAATACATTACGAGGCTCTCATCGTGTGTAGACCTCATTACATTTTCAGAAGAGATAATAATAGCTAGGCCTCACATTTTTGTTTAGAAGAAATAGTTTGAGTTCCAGTTATGACCAACTACTTATCTAACAATTTAATATTAAAATACATTTTGCAAAAACAAATTGTTTTTAAAATATACGACACTGTTACTTAACACACATCACACGCATTGTATATAACATATACGAATGATAACAAAACTCTAACAATATTGTGTTATGTTAAAGATCCATGATAGGTAAAGGCATGCATGATTCTTTAGTTCTACAGCTTCTTAGGCAGTTTACTTCGTTGTTTCATAGGTTTAGGTTGCCAGTGTGCCAGAAATGTGAGAACATGAGAAGTACTCACCCTTGTGACAGTCATAATGAGAAGTACTCACCCTTGTGACAGTCATAATGAGAAGTACTCATCCTTGTGACAACATTTGTCATAATGAGAAGTACTCATCCTTGTGACAGTCATAATGAGAAGTACTCATCCTTGTGACAGTCATAATGAGAAGTACCCATCCTTGTGATAGTCATAATGAGAAGTACCCATCCTTGTGACAGTTATAATGAGAAGTACTCATCCTTGTGACAGTAATAATGAGAAGTACTCATCCTTGTGACAGTCATAATGAGAAGTACTCATCCTTGTGACAGTAATAATGAGAAGTACTCGTTCTTCTGACATTTGTCATAATGAGAAGTACTCATCCTTCCGACAACATTTGTCATAATGAGAAGTACTCATCCTTGTGACAACATTTGTCATAATGAGAAGTACTCATCCTTGTGACAGTCAAAATGAGAAGTACTCATTCTTCTGACAACATGTGTCATAATGAGACGTACTCATCCCTGTGACAGTCATAATGAGAAGTACTCATCCTTGTGACAGTCATAATGAGAAGTACTCACCCTTGTGACAGTCATAATGAGAAGTACTCACCCTTGTGACAGCGTGTCATCTGGAACAGAACTCATCCCTCTAAAGCCCCAACAAAAAGCATTGATCCCCTTCAGGTTGACGTGACATGATGGGGTTCAATGCAGCTGATGGTGTGGTGGGGGTGGGGGTGGGGGTGGGGTGGGGGCGGGGGTGTTGGTGGGGGTGTGATGGTGGGGGTGGGGCTGTGATGGTGGGTTGATGGAGTGGGACTAGAGGGATGTGGTAGTTTGGGTGGGGTGGGTTGGTTGGGGTTGTAAAGTGGGGGTGGTGGGGGTGGTGGGGGTAGGGCTGTGGGGGTAGGACTGTGGGGGGTAGGGCTGTGGGGTTGCGGTTGGGATGGTAGACGTGGCGTGCTCGTGTGTGGGCGACCGTATTGTCAGATCAAACAAAACACTGACGGACAAACCTTCCCTGACATGTCACAAAAATCCCTGACACGTCACAAAAATCCCTGACGTCAGAGAAATCCCCGTCATCAAAGACAATTTACCCCCAGAAGTTCTACACTGGTGTCATGGTGACCTTACACCACATACAAAACACATCTTTTAACCAAAATAATATACGGCCTTAACATATCACATATTTTAGTATGAGTAAATGTATGATCTTAAGACACTAATTTACCTGCAATATATCAATAACTATATTAGAAGTAGACATTTCTTTTATTATTTAAAGGATAAAACGTATCGTTCAAAACGTAAATATGCTTCTTAAAAGCTTAATAATAGTAAGTAGATTCTAGGTACAACAAACAGGTGTGATGCAGAGTGTGAGTACTTACTGTCAAAGGAGAGGTTCTTCAGGTAGTTGTTGAGCAGCTTCTCTCCGTTTATCTTCTCCATTTGGGCGCACATCCCGCGCCGGCCGCCGCACAGATCCTTGTGCATGTTGTCGAGGGCGCGGGCGAAGGCGTACACGGCGTCGTAGATGAACTGGGTCTTACTCTCTTGTGACGTCAGCTTCCGGTTCAGCCGCTCGTCCCCCTTGCACGGTTTGATGGGGGTGTGAGTCTGTCTTTTGGCCTGAGTTTTGGTGTGTTCGTTCCAATCGCACTTGTGTTCTTCCTCGTAGTACTCCAGGAACCACGGGTTGCGCCGGTTAGTTCGTGGGTTCAAGTTTAAGAAATACTCCTCAAATTTCTGAATCGGGGTTGATTGAAGTTCTAAAGTTATCGCCCCTTGGGCTGCCAGAGCGTTGTATTTCACCGGTGCTAACCGGTTCCCCCAAGCGTCGCTGGCCACCCAAACCAGTTTGCCGGTTAGGTTTTGCCGCGTGGCCGCATTCAGCAGGCCAAGCGCGTCTTCCGTGCGCACGATCACAATAACAACTTTTGCGTCGGGTTTGTCGAGGAGGTCTTTGATGACCTGGTCGTAGGTCGCGTTGGTGGATGATGCGCCGATGGTGATGTCGGCGGCGATGCAAATGTTTTTGGACTTGGCTTCCATTTTGAAGAAATTGATCCCAGATTCACCATACTCCCCGGCCGAGTGGACAACAGACACGTATGTCCAGTTGAACTCTGCGACAATGTCCACCATAGCTTTAGCTTGGAGAGTATCCGGGGGGACCGTACGCATGAAGTAGTCAAAACGTTCGCGGTCGTTTAGGATAGCGGCGGTGGAGGCGTAGCTGATCTGGGGAATTTTAAACAAGCGCAGCAAATTTGCGACCTGCGTCGACACGGAACTGATTGAAGCGCCGACCACGCCGGCGATCGCTTTTGGCGAACTCTTCGCCGTGGCTTTAGAACCATCGCTGCAGGTGAAGTCAGTCGTGTCCAGGGAGTTGATGGACCCGCGGATAAACTCCAGGGACTGTTCGAGCGCGTAGGTTTCGACCCCGCACGTGTCGAAGGCCGAGACGCCGATGGTGATGCCGGGCAGGAGTGTGGTGCTGTTGTTAATCTCGTCCACCGTGAACAAGAACGCCTCCAAACGTTCGATGCCGCGGTCAGGGTTGATGGTGCCGCACAGTTTCTCGCCCTTGTTGTGGATGGGGAAGAGCCCGCCGATGATGATGTCGCCTTCGATGGTGGCCGACATGCTGGGGTTGGTGACGTTGGCGGGGGTCTCGTGCAAGGATTGGTACGAGACGTCGACGAGAAGGAGGTAGACGTACAGCAACAGCAGCGGCCATATTCGCGTGTAACCTTTGAACTTGCGCTCCATTTTGCTCGGGTTCAGGTCGCGAAAATTGGTTGAGACACGAAGAAATTCCGTCGACTACGACTCAGCATGTCTGTCTAGCTGGTTCATTAAAGTGTCAGTTTCTAGCAGCCTTACTTCAGGTCGTGAAACTATTTTCCACTAAAAAAACAAAAGTAGCGTCGCGCGCGTGGGGTGTGGCAGAAATTATGGTCTCAACAAGGTGGGGGTAAGTCAGTGCCATCTTAAACACAATTTGAGCTTTGTGAATATTTTGTTTGAAAAAATATTTTTCTAGTATTGAAAGTTAGCTATTGAATCAACTTTCATTTTCATGTGTCATTTATTTCCATGAATCTTACTTACTCATATATGTTTGTTAAAGTGATCGTGTAAAAATATTCTTAAAACTGAACTCAATACAGCTGCATCCATTTTTTATCAGGCAAGACCAGGTGACCCCGCCTCCCCAGCGGCCGGGCGTGACCTTGAAGTGTTCCGTCACGTTTCGTCACGTTCGGAGACTTGACCTTTGAGCACACAGGAAGCCCTTGCCTCGCCTCGGGGTGGCTACGCTCTCCACCGGTGCCGTGTTGAGGGCTGGAAGAATGCGTGTCCTGGTGACGTCATGCTACCACGTCGGGACGCGTGGATGGAGCAGGTCTGGAACAAAAATAGAAAACAAAGAAGGTAGAAGTCGATAGGTGTCGTGTGGCAATTAGCGGGGGTTGGTGGCTGACTACAGCTCGATGCCAGCCCACTAAACCTGACATGGTGTACATACGGCATGACATTGTGTACATATGCTATGAAAAAGTGTATGTACAATGTGTTGGCGTAAATTTGTAAAGATGTTATGACAATGTGTACAGATATTATGAAAATTTGTATGCGTACAATGTGTACTATAATGACATTGTATATGCGTACATTGTGTACAGATGTACACAACACGCAGGTGGTCAATGAAGCTCTCTAAACACCTGAATATGGAATCTAGGGTGCCTTGAAATGTGGGAGGGAGGAGTACGTCATGACCACCAGCTCTTGATTTATCAAATTGGTTAATGAACATCGAAACCTCATTATAAACGTCAACAATTTAAAGTCACTTTCATATCACTTTACTAAGATCATTTAATTTAAATCTTTAGACAACCCCATTTATAATTGTCATTATTATTTAATGAAAATATTCTTTAATTAACACCATTTATTATTATTATTATTATCAGTTAATGCAACTTTTTCTTGAATTAATACCACAAATTATTGTTATCATCGTTTATTTAAAAGCATTTTAAATGACACGACAGATATGACTATATGACTTGTGCAAACTGATAATGTATGCTAGCAAAGTGCTTATCTAATAGCAATGTAAAGTAATATCTATCAAAGCAAGTATAAAATAAATTATTTTCTGTTTGAATCTTAAATTATCACTGATTTTTCCTATTATACATAAAATAGTCTTTACAATAATCTGTGCAACAAAATGTAACAATACAAGTTGCTTTAAATCAAAACGGACAGTAGACCATTGTCGTTTTAAAAATGATACAATCAAATAAATCTAGTAGATCCAGCTCCTTATTATCCAAACCTGCAGTAAACACAACACAACACACGCACACACACACACACACATATATATATATATATATATATATATATATATATATATATATATATATATATATATATATATATATATATATATATATATATATATATATATATATGTGACCGAGTCTAGTTGCATCTTCTGCTCGACAACGCCAAATGTAACCGAGTCTATCTGCTTGTAGTGCCAAATGTTAACGAGTGTATTTACTCATTCTACACAACATCGACCACAATATAGATACTCGAAGATGCAGGTTTACCATTGATCCTTTTATTACATGAATCAAAAAGACATGCTTCACAATAATATAATGAATCAACTGACCCCACTGTCCTCACTAGTCTTCACATAACCGAATGCACATGTCTATCGTCCCTATTAACACAATACGTCTACACCGTTCAGTAACCAACTTGATACTGCCACCCTCCTCAACACGTCTCTACAGTTCGGCTTTCCCTTCTCAACTGTCGCCTTCCTATCTTATCTCTCCTCGTATTCGTAATCGTATTCGGTTCTATCATAGTTATGTTCAATCCGAATATCTCGCCTTCCGATTACTACGCAGTTGTCTCATCAGTCCGATTAATAGAACACCTGCACTGTTACGTCAGCCAAGTCGTGTCAAAGTTGACAGCGCTTGTCGTATCCTTCCCAAAATACGCCGTGGCTTTATGATCGTTATCAGTTGCATCAGACTGTAATACGTTGTTAACCATAGTATGGTAACTACCCTAGTTACATATATATATATATATATATATATATATATCTACATATATATATATATATATATATATATATATATATATATATATATATATATATATATATATATATATATATATATATATAAATATATATTATATCTGTCTACTCTCGAAAACAAAAGCTACGGTAGGCCTATATGTTGATTAACGTACATAACCAGTCTTTAAATAAAGAAATAAATATTCCGCTGATGAAAGATTGTGTAAAAAAAAATGTATCGTATTGTGTGCATCACCAAGTAAATATTTATTTATTTATACCTAGGGTGCTCACAGTGAGAAATGACAAAAGTATTTGAACATGACATTCATGTTAACAAAAATAGGCACAATGATTATATTTTAAGATATCTTTGTTGTAAACTTTCGCGAAAACTAGGATTACGTTCGTATGGAAAGTGGGACACTCGAAAATGCCCGTGCTTAAGCACGCACTATTTTAAAAAAAAAATCTTCAATACCTCTTCAAATAATAAATTATGCTGCTCTAATTATTGAACCTTTCAAAATCAAATATTTATAGAAACCTGATCCGACGGGCAATCGTGCTAGTTTTGTGCGATATAAGTATAGAGCACCATTTGTGTCTGTTATGCCAATTACAAAACTATGGCACACCATTCGTGTCAACTATTTCAAATTATACATTCGACTGCAAGTTGTTTGAACTCGTTTTCCCCCGCGAGACTAGCCGCTGGCTTAAAAAAAACCACGATTATTATGTTGATGGGTATTTCTGAATACAATTTTGAAAACTTTTTTTGTTTGTTGTAAATAATGTGGCGCGGGCCATCAGACCGCAAACGTGGAATCTTTCAAGAGCCTGTTAGGAGCGCGCGTTGTTTTCGGGTGAGTAAATTGAAGGCAGAACGACGGAATGTTAAATTCTTGCACATTTTAAAAACCCATCTTGGGCGGAGCTAACAACCACTTAAGTCGTTACGCGTGATTAGTCGCTCGTGACAAAGGGGATTTCAGTGCCAGGATCGATACTGTAGGTTCAAGACGAATATAAGTAAGTAATGCTCGGTACGGCATAGAGTAGTCGAATTTAATGCGGGGATCGATACTGTAGGTTCAAGACGAATATAAGTAAGTAATGCTCGGTACGGCATAGAGTAGTCGACTTTAATGCGGGGATCGATACGGGGTTAACTGATGTGTTGCAAGTGCATTGTGTGAGATTTGCCTTGAGGATGTGTCAGATCTTGTTGCAGCCGACCTACAAATAATTGCACGTGGCCTACACACTCTACATGTGACCTGCACACTCTAGATGTGACCTACACACTCTACACATGACCTACACACTCTAGATGTGCCCTACACACTCTATATGTGACCTGCACACTCTACATGAGACCTGCACACTCTACATGTGACCTACACACTCTACATGTGACCTACACACTCTACACATTACCTACACACTCTACATGTGACCTACACACTCTACATGTGCCCTACACACTCTACATGTGACCTGTACACTCTACATGTGACCTGCACACTCTACATGTGACCTGCACACTTACACATGACCTACATACTATACATGTGACCTACACACTCTACATGTGAACTCATTACACACACTACACGTGACCTACACACTCTACATGTGACCTGTACACTCTACATGTGACCTGCACACTCTACATGTGACCTGCACACTTACACATGACCTACATACTATACATGTGACCTACACACTCTACATGTGAACTCATTACACACACTACACGTGACCTACACACTCTACATGTGACCTACACACTCTACATGTGACCTACACACTCTACATGTGACCTGCACACTCTACACGTGACCTGCACACTTTACATGTGACCTAATTACCTACACACTCTACACGTGACCTACACACTCTACACGTGACCTACACACTCTATATGTGACCTACACACTCTACATGTGACCTGCACACTCTACATGTGACCTGCACACTCTACATGAGACCTGCACACTCTACATGTGACCTACACACTCTACACGTGACCTACACACTCTATATGTGACCTGCACACTCTACATGAGACCTGCACACTCTACATGTGACCTACACACTCTACATGTGACCTACATGTGACCTACACACTCTACAGGTGACCTGCACACTCAACACTTAGCCTGCTCACCTTAAGAAAAGACCTAATGACATTTTTACAGGACCTGCTGATAATTACACAAGACCTTCCACCTCTTACAAGATATACATCAAGACCTACTGCTAGCTACAAGTTTCTCATTCACAGAATATTTCAAAACTTCGTTTAGCATGTTTAACTGGCTGGGGCTTTCTTAGTAATTGCGTGGTTTTTTTATATAGTAAATATGTCAGTGATTTGTTGGTACTTTATATCAGTCACGGTTGGTGCTTTATATAAGAAAAACGTTGGTGCTTTATATCAGTAAATGGTTGGTGTTTTATATCAGTAATTGGTGGGTCCTTTATATCAGTACTAGGCTAGAGCTTTATATCAGCAAATTGCTATTTAATACCGAGAATTGGCTGGTTCTTTATTGCAGTAATTGAGTATTGTTTTTTATCAGCAGTAGCTGAATCCTGTAGTTTTTAATTAATTTTTTTCCCTCCAGCAGTGAAGCCAGCCCCACCCATCCTCAAGTTAAAATTTTCCCTAATGAAAAACACGACTGTCCATTAAAGGGAAACAACTTCTCG